CATTTATATCTAAAATTATGTGATGATCAAAACTATAATTGTTTCGCCAGACTTGAATCTTAATTTGTTTGATGATCAAAAGTATCTGTTTTTGATGATCAGAAAAATGGTCATCCCTTTCAAAATATCTTCTTATCCATTTTGATATCATTCCTCTTTTTTTTTCCTTAGAAAGTTTTTTTTTTCGGGCAATCACCCATTAAATTCAACAAAAAAAAGTGAAAGACATGATTAAACCGTTTATACGTTTATGACTATTTCAGTTTGAAATTTAAAGATCTTTTTACAATGCTATATGATCTAGTAATTGCTTTAGAAGACATTTATCTTTATCACACCGTAGTTATGAATCTTTGACTTAAATGTCTTAATACACAAATCATTGAAATAAAGTCATTTATTTAGTTTTTAATATCTGATATATATATAATTGAATAAAATAATATTACTGACTTCTATTAAAATATGCATCTGATTATACAAATAATTTATGTACTAATTTGAAATTGTGTATCATATGAGAAACCTTTCGTTCTTAATATGTACAACTATGTATACGTGACGTATCAATGTTTCGAGCAAAAATAAATTTACATTGTGTAAAGTTTATATGGTTTTATCTATCGATTTATTTCATTCAAACAAATATGTAAGATAAATAATGATCGGTATATGTTTTTATTAATTAACTAGTTGCTAGGTTTTTGTTTTGGTATAATTTATCTACCAACACATAATGTTCATATGTTTGCATAATTTGTCACAAATGCTAAAAGAAATTTTCACATAAAAAAACACAGAGTAACTTAATAAAAATACTTTGAATTCATACACTTCTTTATTGACAGATGACTTTCTAACCTTTTTTCTTTTGATACGTTATTATTTGACTGCATAACTCAGCCGATAGTTATTTAGATTGAATAAAGATTACATCACATATGTGAATACACGTATATGATAAAATTTTCTTTTATATCGAAAGAAAGCCAATCCTGCTGTGATATTGACCTCGATATGACATTAAATACTATTGAACTTGTCGATCAAACAAAATATAATATACTATTTTTATCAGTTAATTTTAGCATAGATGAAAAGAAATAATATTTGTCTAATGAACCATATGCAATCGTTTAATCAACAATACAATGATCTAATTATTTTTTCTATACATACATATACACTCACATTCATATACATATATATATATGAATACTATTCATTTTATCAGAAAAAAGAAAAGGTTATATTAGCAGACATACATTGGACCGGTCATATACATGTCGAAATGGACAGACATCAACAGTGAATGTATGCATAGATGTTCGAATTTACACTTAGAAGAAAAAAAGAAAGAAAAAAAACTGCGAACGAAAAAAAAAGAGAGAGAGAGAGAGAGAGAGAGAGAGATGGAGAGTAAAAGAGATTTGAATAGTATAAAGAGTTGCTTTGTTGGTTGATAGAGTGAACGAACAGGTATGGCTGATTAGAAGAATAAGCGGTTAAAGATTTCTTTTTGTTTAAAAGAAATTTTTCTTTTAGATATGACATTTATTTCAATAGAATTTTGTTTTATTACTATTCTTATTTTATTTATATTTATTATTAATATATCTCATATATTATATTTAATTATATGTGATAATGATAAAAAAAATAAATATTTTCGTTTAATACTTTTTAATTTTTCTTATTCATCATTAATTATTGTTATTTGGCTTTTACCATTTTTTTATTTTCGTACTATATGGTCATCAGAATCATTTATTTGGCGTTTATGGTCATTTTTTTTTCATGTGGTTGATGCTGTTCAACTTTATTCTCTACTTTTATTCATTACTAATACAAATATCATTAATTTTTCTTTACAAAAATTCTGTATTTTTCTTTGTTGGATAGCACCTTTAGTTACTTATTCACCAATCTTATGGTTATCATCGCCATATGATAAAATTGATTATTTTCCATATCGTAGATTATCTACTGATGTACCTTGGTGGATATTGCCAATATTATATTCTTGTACGTATCTTGTTCCAATATTTATTTCCGTGATGTTAACTAGTATGACACTTTGTTGGCCATGGATTTATAAACAATATAAAAAACAAAAAAATGCATCTCAAAGACAAGCAAATGAACATCGTGAAAATATGGCAGAATTGACAAGTCTTGTTGAAACAGTTTTAAATTTTGAATTAGATCAATCAACAATAAATACACTTAATGTGAGAAATATTGAATTTTTATTTTCTTTTGTCGATTATTGATGTTTTTAGACATGGGTTCCTTCAATATCTTCACTTACAAATCCATCATCAGGCTCAGAACATAAATCTCTATCATACATTTCAAATACATTGAATCGATCACTATCATATAAAGCTTCACAAGATAATTCATTTGTTATATTCGATTATCTTTCATCATCAATACAATTAAACGATTATATTCAGAAACAACAATCACAAGTTAATTATCATCTATTATTTATTATAACATGCCTTTTATTTCTTGTTCATTTACCATATGTACTTTTCTCTCTCATGGATATATACATATCGCAATTACCGATATTTATTTATATACATTGGTTCGGAACAATGTTCATACCAATTGTACATTTTAAAAAACACTAATAATGTTGTCTCCAATTCATATCATGTGTTGTAGCATATTGTGTATTTTGTTTAGCAAAATCAGGATTAAATTGTGAATTATATCGTCTTTTACGATCATCTGTTTCGATAGGAGTTTGTTCGGGTGTAATTGATGTTGAATCAGTACCAGTAAAAGCTCGTGATAGATAGGCAGCAGTTTTTGTACGTTCTTCTGATTCACGTTTTAATCTAAAAATAAATTATGATTAATGTTAAAATAGAGAATAGTCAAAAACAAAATTTACCTTGCAGCTCTTAATTGTTCAATACGAGAAGATGAAGATGAAGATGAAGATGCAGATGATAAAGACATAGATGATGTTGATTTTTTAGCATTAGTCGAAGATGATTTATTTCCATCATCACGTTTTCGTTTTAAATCATCGACATATTTTGACATAGAATTAAGAGGATCTTGTTTTTGAACACGTAAACGATCACGTTCTTCTCTATAAAATTAGAAAATTCTTTTATTTTTTTCTCTCATAAATTATCAATTCATTAAGAAATAACATTCATCACAATATTAGTTTTGAAACTATATATAACAAAAGAATACTTATTTTAGTTTTAAATTTATTAATTAGATAAAACAATCGGAATGAATAGTTTTCGAAATATGTATAGGTCATCTGAACGATATCTTCCTGTTTTCCCATAAAAACTTTTTATATCTTCTATTTTTTGGTTACTTTTTTCTGCGTCTATATGTATTTCAAAAATTCATATATGTCATTATAAAAGTCGAAAAAGATGAAACACTTTCGGTGAAATTTACACTTCATTTTACTATTTTTCAAAAATAGATTTTTGTACAAAGAAAAAGAATCATTGTTGTTTCTCAGCCACAACGCATCAGATCAAGTTGAAACTTTCTTCTATTTGCCTAGAAATCTTTTAACATGTTTGCATATTTTTTGTTTAAAAGTATGATATATCACTAGTATTTTCCAGGACATACCAAATAGGCTCAAAGTAAAAAAAAAAGCATGCATTTTGAAGGTTATGTTCACTATTTTGTCCTTTTTTTCGAATGGAAGAAGACAAGAACTAAAAAACTAAACTAGGCATCCCAAGAAGTGCTATTATCTAAAAAAAAGAGTAAATTCTATCAGATGTATTGTTGTTGACAAGGTGTGGTGATTAGATGAGAAGATAAAGCAACATATAGCTTTTGCGACCCTGATGTCTTCTAGAAGAGAATATTTAAGAATTTTGAGTATATGAAAACTTTCTTTGCACTCATCAAGGTCTATCTACTTTGAAAGTTTCAAAATTTTCTCATCTTTACTAATAGAAAAATTACTTAATCTAATTTTGTTTTAAAGAATTTACACTCCATCGATGGATACATATGAAGAGAGTCGAAAAACAATGCACGGGTGTGGATCTTCTCGTCATTCACACTCCACATCGTTTTGTTGAAATTCTCATGGATATTTTGTCTCGATTCGATATAATATCTTAATATACTTCTCATCTCAATAACAACTGTGATAAGGATTTATATTTAAACATATAATTCTAGCAAAATTAAAACATGTTCTTACCGATCAGTTTTAGACAATTCTTTTGATAGCAGCTGTTTACTTCCTCCTCGTTCCATATACCATGGAACAGTTCCTAGATAAATCATTTTTGTATTAATATTACGAAAAAAAAAGAAAACAAACATCGATCATACCTTTACTTTCTACAACGCTACCACCAAGATAAGTTAATAATCCAATCTTCTTTTCAAATTCTTCTGTTTCAGCTTTTTTCTCTTTTTCATGTTCAGCATTAGTAGCATCACTAGTTTTTAACTAAATATAAATTAAATGAATAAATAAATATTATCAATAATTAGATTTCTACATACTCCTTGTTCTTCAAGTTGAAATAAATTTACATGTTCGGTTGGTGTTTGTTTTGAGGATGCATCTTCTGAGCCTTGAAATTGTATTAAATGATCACCGCGTTGAACTCGTAGATAATTAAGACGAGCTTCTTGTTCCTTAAAAATAAATTTATAATAATTGGAAAAAAAAAATAACCAAATATATTCAATGAATAATTTACAGCTAAAGTTTTTCTTCGAAGTGCGTTTTGTTCTTCTTCGGCTGCTTTCTTTTCATCACGTAAAACCCGAGCAATATTATCTTTGTTTCTAACATGCCATCGTTTTTTTGGTAAGATATTCATATCTAAAGAACTAAAAGAGTTTTCATATTACGCTTATATATATAGTTATTAGATGAACAAAATTTTTTTATGTAATAATTAAGAAGACATGAAAGAAATACTTCACAGATAAAAATAAAAAAAAACGTAGGATTGGAAACATAGTTATTTAGTTTAACTTGATGGTTGAACTGTTTCTGTAGATGAAGAATCTTTTCTTTGATCTTTGTGTGATTGAATATCACGTTGAGGAGATTGATGGCCATCAAGACGTCCTTGTGATTTACGTAAATTCCAATGAAGTATATCGGCTAATGATTCAAACCAATCACCCAATTGATCAAATCGACATATTGATGGTACTGGATAAACACTTGTTGTTATGTGTACACTAAAATATTATCAAATATAAAGGCAAACATTATACTTTTCTTCTTCTCGATCTTCTTACCTATCTTGATGGTGGAGTTCATGTCGATTTCTTCCATCAACTGATAGCCATGCCGTAAGACGAGTTTCTTCTGAAACTTTTACTTTTAATTCAATACCAGCTGGAACAACAATTGGTCGAAATGATAAAGAATGTGGGCAGATAGGACATATGACCATGGCAGGAACATTGGGATGAACCATCGATGCACCGGCTACCAAAAATCTCCGATTATTAAATAATAGAAAAAGATAATGATAGAAACATACCTGCCATTGCATAAGCTGTAGAACCAGTAGGAGTAGAAACAATCAAACCTTAAGCAAAAAAAATCGTTGACTAATTTTTTCGAAATAGAATATGACAAAAACATCGAGTTCAAACTGAATAAATAAATGAGATCAAAAAGAAAGATTTTGTAATACCTTAAACAACATATATAAAATTCTAATGTTGACTATGATTCTGGATTCTGTTGAGTGATATTTATAGTTTTGAAGATAAGTAACTAATGCTTATGAAGTGCTACTATTCTTTATGGTATTGAGCTGATAGTTTGGGTGCATGTGTGCTTGTTTCATGATCATCTTACTTCAATCATATTGCCACAAATGTTTTCTTTCAATCTCTTACTCGAAAGACTCCTGTTGTAGTGCTTTCTCTAGTCCGAGCCTTGGAATAATTGAGATATCGTCTTCTTATTACGAATGTCTATCGAAGAGCAAAGTGTCTTGTTTTCTACGACTAATTTATTTGACAATTTGATTGGGAAGTTTCCATGAGACACCAAATTTTTATTGAAAGTTTTAGAATCATTGAATTGAATGAAGTCAAGTTAGAACTACGACATGGATTCATTCTTTCATAATGCCCTAAGTACTAAGATCTTTATTGTGATGCACGCGTTTTAGTGATAAATAAAGTAGGCAAATATAAATACCTTTAACGCTAGAAAAAGAAACAGTAGTAACTGTTAGAATAGCAAAATAACAAACAAAAAGTTTTTTAGCACATATTTTCATTGAATATGTTTTTGACAAGAAAAAGAAGATGTGCGAATCATAATTTCAATACATATGAATCAATAGAAGGAGAGTGGGTTGGTTTTTTAAATCAGACTTTATTGTCACATGCATGCAAGCAAACTATCAATTCAATATCACAAAGAATTAAACCATATTAAACAACTTTTTCATTTTTAATAAAGGGATCAATCATAAAGAACATTCAGATAATTTACTATGAATGTTTTCTTTCTTTTTTGCACACAAATTTCGAGAAAAGTTTCATGGTTAGTGTGTTTTGAAAAACATTTTAAAATAGAAAATAAACTGAATGGATCAGCTGAATATGTGTACGATGTTGAAATAATCCAAGACTGTACTGGATGAGTAGATAATTATTTTTTCGAGTAACTATATGAAATTCTCACGTGTCATTGATATTGAACATAATTTTCTGTATTGTCATTTTTACCATGGTTGTTTAACGAATCCAGGCGAGTATGGGTCTGAAAATTTTAAACTCCGCAGACTTCACTGGGCTTCCAAGAAAGAAGAGATGTAGATGAAACTGAACAGAGGGGATAGGTCAATAATGCGATTTCCACTTGAATGTCATTAACGGATGACCTTTATTAGATTATCTCAAATTTCATTAGTTAAACTAAAACATTTATTATCATTTAGTTAAGTATTACTATTCTTTTTACTTACCATCACCTTGTACTTTTGTAATAAATCGATCATTAATATATAAATCAAGATTTGATAAATATGAATTTGGTCCACGATCAATAACAACTTCATTTAATGCTAAATGTGATATTTTATCATCTTTATTTGCATGTTTATTATTATCATCACTTATTGTATCATCAGATGATGTCGAACGAAGTGATGCTGATGATAATGATTGTCTTTTTAAACCTTTAACAATTGAACATTTTAAGCGCGAACGTAATAAAACAGCAACATTGCCTGATACGACTTCATTTAAAATTTTTTCATGATGTTTAAAATCAAATGGAGTTAAAAATCCAAGTGAGCCCATTGAAAATGATAAGACAGGTGGACAACTTTTTTGAAATATATTTGACACATGCAAAAGTGTACCATCGCCACCCATACAAATAATTAAATCAATTTTGAAAAAATCATTCTCTAGAATCAAATATCAAAATAGAACTAAGATAAAACAAAAACAAAAAAAAAGATATTATTTAAAAATAAAACCGTGATCGAAGGCATGACATCGTTCAGCATGTTCTTTTAATTCAGAATCAGTTGCAAATGGTAGATGCATATGTTCGGATACTTCAATATAAACATTAAGACGACGCTATGATAATAAATAAAAAATACATAAAAGTGTTCATTTTCAATTTCGAAACTTGTTTTATAACAGAGTTTCACAAATAACAAGTCTTATGACAAATTTATAGCTATAAATTATCTCAATCTTGAGACATATTGCAGATTTTTCTTGTCAATTAAAGGCGGGTACCATCTCAGAATACTTATCATTGAGACAGTGAATAGATATGCTACCTTTTTGAATCAATATCTACTAACTTGGAGGAAGAAGAAACAAAAGGTGTAGTCATTATTCAATCTTACGAGGAAATCAGACGAAGCGATACATCAATTTTGAATGCATAGTTTGAGCATATACAATAGATATTCTAGACTAGAATAGCTTCAAAACGATTCAGCTCATATATATTCACTCCAAAGTTACGATAGTTTTAGGTCATTTATATCATCGGATAGTATATTGGTAGGACAAGGTAATAAAAGAAAGATTTTTTTATCTGACATGTTTTCTATAAGTAGGCTTCATTATTCGGTATATATTCGAAAAGTTTTAGTCAAAATGATTGATTTTTCTATTGAAATATTCGACGTGCCACAAAAGATTGAATCTGAGGAAATCGAAAATTTTGATTTTAGGCAAAATTTCAAATAAAAATATTCCTGTGTTGTATTTTCCTTCTAATACCCTGTTTGATAGTAAATATTCAGTGGAACTTAAACAATCAATTCAAGCAGTTCTCTTGTTCGTCCTAAAGTTAGTATTAAATATGTTTTTTCTTTGTGTTAAAAAACAGTACAGAAAAGGTAATATTTCTATGAATAATGAATACATTATAGATAAAAGAGATTCTGCACGACATTTTAATTCACAAATAAATCTTTACTGATTTCAATAGAGAAAAAAATTGAAATAATTCTCTCAACTTTAGTTTTATAGAGACTTAATGTTGATCATCACTAATCGTTCAATATTACCAATACATGACAAATAGTTTTTTTTTTGACTACTCCTCATATTTTAAACTTATTTCTCATTCATTAACATTTCTCTTTTTCTTGGAATGAGTAAAAAGTTCCGAAAGAGAACAAATCAATTACGACAAAATTTCTTAAATAGAACAACAGGTCTTTTTAGTTAACTACTTAATGATTTATCAATATTAATTGAGAAAAATCAATGATAAAATTAATTTTCCTCGTTTAAAATTTTTGATGAGTATTTCTCTTAATACACAATGTTATTTTAAGAGAAAATAATCAGTAGTATGTCTACAATCTCAATCGACATGGATATTTAATTCTGATATTTGTTCGTCATGTTTACTTTAAGTAGTTTTATAATTATTTCTCGAAATTCTGGCATTGTTTGTGGACCTGGTTTACGAATAATAAGAAGATTATATGGTGGAGAAATCCAATGTAGACGTTGGCTAGATGGATCTTGAATAACACTATGAATAGAAAAAAAAAACAAGTTTATTCTTTAATATTAATCAAAATTTCAATAATACGAACATAAGTTGATCATTATTTTGTACTTTTTTAAGTGTTCCTTTGGGTCCAAAATTAGATTTTGGTGATGGAGCAAATGCTGAACGAGCACGCCTAAATAATCAAATACAGAAAAGAAAAAGAAAATAAATAATTATTTGAACAATAAATAATTATTTTTATGAATAAAATTTTGTATAGTTTATGAAAATTTACCTCGCTTTACTACTATCGGCTGACATCGAGATTGATCGTCTCGATGTTGTATTAGAAAGTGGTGATGTCATTATTTTAGTTAAAGAAATTTCACGCCGCAAGCAAATAACAGAATTTAAATGTACAAGAGTGCGTCGATAACAGAACATTGTTTCACGCACATGGAAGCAGAGAAAAGATAAAAAAAACAAGGTAAAGTAAAAGAAAACAGCAATTGTTTTAATATGAAAGCCAAGTATTTTTTTTTATCTATAATAAAAAGCACAATTTAAATCGATATTTCTTTCACATAATAACGGCTCCTTCCTAAGCTAGTGTATTATTCTACTAAAAAAAGATCTCATTATAGGAAAAGCATCGTGTGCCTATCAAAACGTTTAAAACTAACCAGCATGTTTTTGCTGTCGCTTGATTGTTACTGTGTGGTAAAGGAACACAAATATAATCATTTTCGTCTGATTGTCTTATATTTGGATTATAGGTTGTAGTTTGATTCTCCCGATAAATTTCAAGTTCATCATTTAGACACATTGGAAGTGAGGATTCACCAACACTAGCGGATCGTCGTTGATAATTAACGTTTCGTTGGGGTGAGTGATAATGAATATTATCATTCATCTTAATTTAGTATTAAAAGGAATTATCGTAAGGTGCATAATAAACAAAATTAAACCAAATTTAATTGTTTTTTTTTCTCGTTTATTTTACACGTAGTTAGATAGAGCTTCACAAGTTGACTGAGAATGTATGTTTTTTAAAATTTTCTTTGAAAGACTTTTGATTAAAAAAATTTATGATTTCTGATATTTTTGAATAGGTGAGTTTTTCGATTTAAAAAAAAAAACAAAACTCCGTTTCATACAGATTATTAAATTGATATGTTTAGAATCATTATGAAAAACTCAGTCGATGAGACTAATGTTTGATTCTATTTCAGTATTTTATCATCATAAAATGAACAGAAAGTGATATTTCAATCAGACAGTGAAACTTCGTAAAACTATCTAGTTTTTTTTCTGTATATTATGATAGATCTAACTTTTATATATCATTAGAGTAGTTAGACATTGTACTTCAAAAGTAGAAGTTTCGTTTTCTAAAATATTATTTTATTAGAGAACAAAATTGTTTAATTTTGATTCGACACTTTGAAAACAGAAAATTTCGCCAGTAGTACAAGGTTTTCTTTATTAAAACTCGACCCTTTTTTTCAACAAAAAAATAGTAGATTTGGAAGCTGCACGAAAAACTGAATAACGTAAGATACATATTAAAGTGTTTGCTTGATTTGAATGTTTTTTATGAAAAATTTATGGTTTTGTCATGACATCAAAAATCATTTTGTTCGACTCAATTTTTTGTGCTGCTTCTGAATCGATGATTTTTATTGTAAAATAGTCGAGTTTCGATGAAACAAATCTTATATTACTAGCATAAATTTTTGTTTTCGAATTATCTGATCTGAGTTAAACGATGTTTTCTTCTAACAAAATAATAATGTGGAAAACACAAATTCTACTTTTGAAATAGAATATCTGACGAATTTAATAGTATGTAAAAGTTATACATACCAGAATATAGAAAAAAAATCGACAGCTTTACAAAAAATATCTCCGACTCTTTAAAATATCATTTATCTTTCATATGTCTGATGATAACATACTTGAATAGTAACAACCATTTTCAAAGTATATATTAAAAAAATATATAACCTCAGTCAACTCCCCAACTTCTACCTAACTACGTATAAAAAAAAAACGAAAAAAAAAATTGTATTGATTTTGTATTTTATGCACATGAGTTGAAATAAAAATACTTGCTTTTAGTTACGTTAGTAATAAAGAAGAAGAAGAAGAAGCAAACTATGACTAAAGTCGATCATATAGTCTATAATTTTAAATATATATAGCATTTTTTTTTCCATTTAAGATTATCATGCAAGAAACACAGTTTGTTAGGAAATTTGTAAGAATATCATTACTGTTTAAATATCGATCTCATTTGCCTTATAGAATAAATTATTTTTTGTTTGTGATCTGTAAAAAAAAAGAACGATAAATTATTTTAGTTTCTTCTAATTTACGTTCGAAATAAAAAAAAAAATAAATGAATAAAACAAAAGACAAAGATTTATCTCGATATATTTTTTTTTTCTTTCTTCTGACTTTATTAGTATGATTTATAATCTACTACAATTGATCAATTTTCATTTTGCCAGCAACACGTTTTTTATTTTGTCCTAGACGATATTCATTATCTACACGTTTCGTTGTACCCAATCGTCGAGCATGAAAATTGAGTGCACCACGTGAACATATAACAGGTAATTGATGATGTTCAGTATTTACTTCTTCATTACTCACAACACTCATTGATGGACATTGAGCAAATGTTCGTGCAGATCGAAGTGCATGTGTCGGCAATTGAAGACGAGTTTTAGGTAAAAGACGAGCTATATGAGCTTTATTTGCTGTTGTTCGTGAATAAATTTTATCATCTTCTTTAATAGTATTTGTTGAAAGAATAGGAAGTTTTGGTTCAATTTTTGTAATTTTCTTTTGATTAAGTTCACGAAGAAATGGATCTTTGAAAACTTTCTTTTTTTTCGATAATTTTTTTGTTAAAATTTTCTTTTTCTTCTTTTTATCATTTATTACTTGTTTCATTATATGTATTAATAATTAGATAATGAAAATCTGAAACATAAAATTTACTTCTTCAATAAAATGTACAACTTACAATCAGTTTTTCCTAATAACATATTAAAAAGAAAAACAGGAGAGTATCCATCAGAAGTAATACTGAGTCGAGATGTTTTACTTCTCGATTAGTATACATGCTATTTAAAAGAATATTTATGAAATTTATTTGTCAATTATCATCATCAATTGGATTGGTAAAAGATTTCAGTATTTGAAATGGTTGTATTCGCTAGCAATAACAACACAGAATCAACTATTATTCCTACTTCAAAAGAGGGCGCTAAGTTACATAGTACATTTGTTTTTCTGTTAGAATTCACTTTGAACAGAATCAACAAGATTATATATTTGTTCTCCTTGAAAAGAAAAAAAAACTTTTTAGTAATACTATTAAAACGGTTCACTTAAATATTGGGTCATAATAACATGAATTTTACTAAAACTAGATTAATATACGATGATTTCTATATTATCATATTGTGAAAAAAAACTGATTCTAAAAATAGCAAGACACTTTGAAATCAAGAGCTATTTCAAATTTTTTGAACATATTTTCACCAGCACGAAAACAAAAAAATTCTGAAACGAAAGTTTCTTCGTTATTTCTATTTTCTGAATTAGTTGAGAAGTGTTGACTGTAAGTCTTGATTACAATAATGATCCTAATGAGTTGCCTACAAATGACTGAATATTACATAAAAATACGGACACTATCATAAAATTCATTAATAAACATGTCTTTTGAAACAGGCACAATAGATACAAGTCCTCATATAAGTTGTATACATTAGCAAGGAGCAGAAGATTTTGAATCTTTGAATACACGGAGAATTTTCAATGTCGAACCCTAAATGAAGAAATATTTATTTAAAAAAGTGGAGATAAAATAGAATTCTGCGACAGCTTTCTAGATTAGTTTTTAGAAACTTTTAATCTTGACAAAATTTAAATTGTGTGTGCCTTTCTCAATGTGCATATATGCTCACATTATTCGACATGATGAAGGAGGCGAAAAGTATGCAGTGCAGTTACTTTGTAGGCAAACTGCTACACCGACATCCATATCTGCTCTAAAGCCTGTAAGAGTCAAAATTTTTGACTCCGAAGCCCGACTCGGACCCTAAGAAACTTCGAAAACTTATATTGACTAGTATATATACGTCTTTCTTGTACCACTTGTAAATGAGAATGTCTCCGTGATGATTTTTTTTTTTCTTCAAACTTATTGCTGAATTTATACAGTAGTGCATTTTGGTTCATTGCTTCACATGAAAAGAATAAAGTTGTTACTAAGCAAGAGTAAATATACTTATTTTTTTTATAGGTGCAACTCCAGCATGAACTTTTCACAATCACTGTAACTTTGACTCCACTGGAGATGGGTTCGAAGTTCAATGCAACGTACTAATGTACAACAATGTCCAAGATTTATGCCGATATGTACACACTCTCACTTACAACTAATCATCTTCCGACAGCTGCTCACTCTTGAAGCATGTCATTTATTCGATCTCACTTATTTATTTACTTCAAACATATCAAAGCAGTCTAGCTGATAAAGCATGAGTGGACCAATAAATGTAGAACATTTGCGCCATGTTTTCTCTCTCAGTTCCTTTTTTTCTCACATCTCCTCGTTCTAATATTCACACTGTCTTTGAAAAAAAAAGATGTCATAGGGAACCATTGAGGGTTTTAGTGAAAATGTTGAGCTTTTTAAGGTACCATTTGGTCATCATCCAACCATCAAAAGTTCTAGAAAATTTAAAGAACCATTTCATGTATAAATAGGTTTCAAGCGTTTAGAATAGTTCTATCTCGCACCATTTTTGAAAAGGTGAACTCTTTTTTAGAAATATAGTTCTAATATAACTCACTGGGACTACAGGGTAAGAAACAAGGTACCAAACGAATTCTCTGAAGTTACACAGGACTTTACTATACCTTTAGTCTAGGGACAAATACATGAAACCTCACTAACGAGAGAAGGTTCCCAAGTGTGAATCCCAGTTTTGAATGGAATACATACTAGTTTGTAGAGTTCGATAAGCTAATTCTCATGGTATGTTCCGTTTTTTCCCATAGAACTCCAAATGAAAAAAAAAACAAATCGATTCTACCAGTGAATTTCTTCATTTTGGATAAGTTTCGAGACAATTTTTAGTCATTTGAGACATGAAGAGCACTTAAAGTTTAAATGATCATCTTAAAACATAGGCAATACCACATGTGAGCCTATTATTATACTATTTTAAATGCAAGTTAAGCTCCACCTTCTGGATACATAATAAAGTTTTTTCTCAGAGTCGCTAAAATTCCTACAAGTGTAATAATTATACAATTAATGTTCATAGCGATGATTGAATTGAGATTTGCAAGGAAGTACTGTTCTCCTATTTTTTTAAAATGAACTAATAATAGAATGTCAGATGTGGTATTGTCTATGCCTGAACGTGACCATTTAAACTTTAAGTATCCTTTTAGTCTCAAATTACTAACAATTGTTTCAAAACTTATCCGAAATGAAGAAATTCACTAGTAAAATCGATTTGTTTTTCTTATTGAGAATTTTATAGAGAAAAACAGAGCATATCATGAGAATCAGTTCGTCGAGCTCTACAAACTAGTATCTATCCTATTCAAAACTGAGGCTCACAGTCGGTGACCTTTCCTCACTATTGATATTCAAGGCTCACCATGAATCTGTAAAGAATACTTACAGAACTAAAATAATCTTTGTTGTAGAGGGAAATCGTTGTACAAAGTATTAACCAGACATCATTTTACTGGTACACAGCCTTGAAAGTGCGATATTTTCAAAAGATTCTAAATAATAATTAAACTGTTTCATCATTTTTTTCGTATGCAATTGACGAAAATTTACACATTCATTAGAAATCAAAAACCCTAACAAAA